GGTGCCCGCCGCCGCTGCTGCCGCCGCCGCCGCCGTTGCCGCTGCCGCGAAGCGCTGCGCCGCGCACGGTACCCACCACTGCCGTTCGAGCGAACCGCCGCCGCGTTGCTGGCCCTCTCAGTCGCGACGCGCTCGTCACGGGGTGCAGATCGTACGCCGTTCGTCGCTTCGACACCCTTCGCCGCGCGCAGCACGCGCTTCTCACGCGGACTGTCGTCGCCGTACGTCGCGCGGCGTCCACCGCGTCCCGTATTCGTATCCGCGTACTATTCGTAAAGCGCGATCTCGTCGTGAAAACCGTCACGTTGCCGTCGTGATCGTTGTCGTCGCGTTTCGAGGTGGTTGGTGGTGGGTGGTTTGACGGTGAAATCTGACTTCTTCTCTCGGACAAAACGCGCCTCGATGCGATAGACGTTTTTCGGTGAGACTGAGATAAGTGTGACAGTAGTTAGAAACTGTTAAAAAAAATAGAGAGAGAGAGAGAGAACACAGCGAGAAGGAGAGCAAAGATTAATAATTAAGTGTGCCGCGTGGTGCATCCAAGTAGGGACGCAAATACCCCCCCTCCCTCCCTGCCCCTTTGTCGGGACTGTCCTGATCCCTCGGGAGACTCTCCATCGTATATGATGCTTCGTAGGGAGAGACAAGGCGAACTCTAATTTTTTTGGAAGCGGTGGGAGTGAATTCAGAGAGAGTACTCGAGTGTGTGTGTATATATATATATATACATATACATATACATATACATATACATACGATTGTGAGCCACGTTTTCGGAGTTAGGCTGAAACGATGCTCGATCGCGACGTCCCAACGGGACGATGACGCCCGCGTCGGTCCGCGTCTGACAGGTCCGCGCACGTTGCCACGAGGCGCGCGGATAAGGCTCTCGTACTCTTCCCGCGTCACTTCGCGCGGAAGGAATCTGAAGGTTTTGCGTGTGGCTGTGCATGTGCGTGTTGCAGATGCGGTCTCGTTGCTGATCCAATCAAGGTGAACGTTACCGAGAAGCAGAGGCGAGACGCACCACGAGGAGGCGACTGGAGGAAGAGACGAAAAGACGAGGAAAAACGGTGGAGAAAGCGTAAAAGGAAAAACTCGCCCGACGACGTAGAGGAAGTCGAAGGCGTTCCTCTTCGAGAGAGAGAGAGAGAGAGAGAGAGAGAGAGAGAGAGAGAGAGAGAGAGACAAGACAAGCAGAAGCTGCATCACATTCGATCATGACGCAACAAAGCGGAGCTGGGTCACCCCAGCAGTTCTGTCTGCGTTGGAACAATTATCAGACTAATCTGACCAACGTCTTCGATCAGCTCTTACAGAGCGAAAGTTTCGTGGACGTAACCCTGGCCTGTGACGGGCATAGCGTTAAGGCTCATAAAATGGTCCTGTCGGCTTGCAGCCCGTACTTTCAGGCGCTCTTCTTCGACAACCCCTGCCAGCATCCTATAGTCATCATGAAGGATATCAAGTGGCCGGAGCTCAAGGCCGCGGTCGAGTTCATGTACAAGGGCGAGATCAACGTCTCCCAGGAGCAGATTGGACCATTGCTCAAGGTCGCGGAGAGTCTCAAGATCCGCGGCCTCGCGGACGTCAACAGCGAGCAGGAGCTGACGTCCAGGCCGACTCTGGAGGAGGTCGCGACCGCGGCGATGCAACGGAAGAAGCGTCGCCGGATATCCGGCGATCGCTCACCATCCGGCAACAGTCCGGAACGTGTCGGCTCCGGCAGCATCGGCCCCGACGACGACGTGATCGGTAGTAACATCGTCGTGCCCGAGATTCACAGCATGGTGCCGTCGACGGCCAGCTCGACCCCGAGATCTCTCGGCTCGCCCAGCACGCCCAGCATCTCCGTCACGCCGCAGATCAACCTGCAGGAACTTCCGGTCTCGCTACCCTTACCGCCACCCCCGCCGCCACCGCCGCAGGGACAGCAGAGCTCGCACCCCCTGTCGACCCACCACGTGCCCGGCCACGTGACTTCCGGTCCGCACGCGCCCGTCAACCACCTGGGCGCCCACAGCCAGCAGCTCAGCGTGCAACAGCAGCAGCAGCAACAACAGCAGCAGCAGCAGCAGCAACAGCAGCATCATCAACAGGGCGCCGGCAATCAGCCCGGCGCCGGCGACGACCTCGAGATCAAACCCGGCATCGCGGAGATGATTCGGGAGGAGGAAAGGGTGAGTCGAGCTTTCTTTACCTACGATCGATCTGTGTTTCCTTTATCTTCCTCCTCGTCTGCGTGGAGGAATAGTTTATTACTTGAAAATTCATTGACGCGTTGCACTTCCGAGAGAATAGATCGCGATGTCTCAATGCGAAAATGATTAAAGAAACGATTAACGCGTTAGCATGCAGAACACGCTATTAATAGCGTGAAAAGATATCGAGTGAAAAAGTGACTGACTTTCCGTAATTTACGAAAGAGTTAAATAAAATCTGTGTTAGGCGTTAAAAGATTCATACAACGCGATAACCGTCTCGTTTTCGAAACGTGTGAGAAGCTTTTATGCATAATTGTTATATCAAAGCAGTATTCGTGCTTGTGTGCCTGTGAAAATTATTGCTAAATTAATCTTATCGACAAGAGTGATACTATTCTTTACGATTAATCCTTTTTCTCGGGACGTACATTTGTCTCTGCACGCGTCAGTGCTAATATGTAATTTTCAATGCAAATTGAACAACAAGAATTCCGTAATTGCGCGGAGTGTTGTAATTAGAAGATTTTTATGTTCACGATAACGTCGAATCACTCAGATATATATTCCGATGAGCTGAATGTAACTTTCCTGTTTTTATGCCGGCAGAATATTACTTCTTATGCCGAAGATAAATTAGTAGAAATAATATGCAGGAAGAACAAAAAATCGTCAGAATTATACTTGCTTGTTAACGAGAATGGGATAAAAACATCATTTCCGTCAGAAGTAACGTTAGATCTTCAAGAAATATATGCAAAAATGTATAAAAAGATTGATTAGCTTTCTGCCCGATAATAAATGTACTAGATAGAAAGTTTCAACAAATTCCAGATATATGTTAGAAATTTAAGAGGTTCATTTTTAATTTAAATCTCGATGCATTATCATGCTGCGCTACAAGCCTAATTTTATTAGATGTTGATTGACGTTAAATAAACGAGCGAATAAATTTCTACGTCGTAACTGGAAATTCGCGCACGCGCATACATTTCATTTTATTCCAATATTGGATAGGGTAAATACGAGTAAAAGAGAAATATTCCAATATTTGCCCAACATTTAGACATAATTTGGCAATGCGGGTGGGTCAATTAAAAGTTTCCTCCGCCGGTCAGAAACGCGCTGCGACCGCGAATTGAATAAGAAACGTCGGCGTTTCTCTATCCCGAGCGAACTCTACCACCGGGCGAGCTTCCCCTCTCCCGGATCGAAACTTTCGCGCTCCGGAGTGATGCGGTTAACCCGAAATAATCGCGCGCGGAAACGTAATTGTCCCGATAGAAAACAAAGATGTTTCTCTCGTTGACCGGGTCGTAGCCGCGACCGGTCGTTAACGAGAGCACGATGGTTTCGCGCTCACCTCATCTCATTAGAGCGCGCGTTCGTCCTCTCGTCAAGGCAACGTCGGCCACGATCCTCTCCGAGGAAGACACAACGGCTGCCTCTCCCTCGTATATAATTGGCCGCTCTTTCGACGGATGGAAAAGTCGCGCATCGGACGCGCTCGAGACGCGGCGGGCCGGCCGCGTCAATTATACGAGACGCAGGACGAGTTTTCGCGCCGAAACCGGTCACGCGAGAAGGGGTGGGAAAGCGGAAGGGGCGGCAAACGACAGAGGGGAAAGAGAGAGTCCCGCGCGCTTTTCCGCGGACGGAGGTGGAGGGCCATCCCAATTACCCGGCGATTGGCTTCGACGGTATGCGCTAATTGAGAGTATCAATGAACGTCAATGAGCGCAGTCAATATTTGGCCGGGGTGCATCCGGCCGAGCGTTTTGTAACGTTCTTTTTGTTAAAGCGGATGACAAATATTGACCGCGCTCGTTCGCGTTCGCGCGCGGACGTGACACAACACGCGTGCACGCACGCACGCACGCACTCACTCACTCGTACACGCGCTCGCTCGCGCGCGCCTGGGGTATCGACTGTTCTCGTTAATTACATCGGGACGACGGTGTCTCCTGCATTATTTATCGTCCGCTACCGGTGCAAGTTATTAAGCGTGCGGCTAGTTACAAGCCGTTTTGTAACTAGCACGACGATCGCCGGACGTAGGGAGCTGGTCGTGCACCGACTTGGGCCGAACGGTTAACTTGGCTTAACAAAATATATTCTCTCTCTCTCTCTCTCTCTCGTCCTCTCCTTCTCTGTGCTTTCAACAACGCTCACGTTCATTCTCTGCCGCGTTTGTAATTATGCCGCTTATTTGTACCAATAATACGATCGATGTATGGACTGTTCTCGCTATCTTGATTAAATTTAAAGTGATCGTATGCATATATTTCTCTTGTAAAAACTGTTGTCTAGAATTCCACAGTCGGAGATAATCAACGCTCTGATGCATTATATTCAAGGTTTATCTTATCCAGATGTATATATTACGTATATATTTTATAATTTACATCGACAGCTACGTTTTTACGTTGCTTATGTAACATAATCCGATAAGTGGGATAAAAGTCTTAATATATGAATATCTAACGTTACATGAGAATCCTGTATGAGAGTATCGAGTTCCAAAGCTAATCGGAAAGTTAAATAAGTTTAATTATTATCCCACCCCGACGCCGAATGCATCCGCGATCGACGCAGCGGGATTTATTCGTTATATGGATCAGCGGCCCTTCACAGCGGCGTCGTGTCTTACGTGCCATCCAGAAAAAACGAACGAGCGCGCGAGCACGTTTAAATTTTCATCCGTTAGAGAGTTTTCGGGCGTAGATATCCGGGGAAGAGCGAAAATATATCGGACGGCAGTCCGGGAAGAAACTTGCACTCGGTGAATGAAGGACACGCCGCGCGCCGCTTACGAGGGTTTACGCGCGGAAAAGCACGGAGCGAGACTGACTCCGCGCCCCCGTCAGTTCAGCTCAATCTGGAAAATTAAAGTTTACCGAGCATTATTTCTTTTTTTTTTTCTCCTTTCCTCCTCTTCTCAGAGCGCACAACACGTCGCCGAGCCCCCGCCGCACACACCGTGACGTAATCCGCTATACGTATATAATGGTTATAACATTCCGCGGAATTCCATTATGTTAACGCAACCACGTTCCAATTCTCCGGGTATGCCTGCCCGACTGCCTGTGTGTGCCACGTATCGTAAATGCGCGCCGTTGTAGTATCGCAACTATTCCGCGGTGCCTTTCCGATTAAAATACCTAATTGATGCGGGCGAGAGGAGCCAATGGCGGATCGCGGAATGCCAAGCCGCGAGAGTGCTTGCCAAGCACCGTCGACATGGACTTTTTTCTTTTCTTTTCGTTTTTTTTTCCTTACGGGACGAACGAGAGAAAGAAAGGAAAAAGAAGAGGAGAGGGAGAATAATTATACAAGTAGATGAAATGAAATAAAATGTAATTATGCAGATTGCAGTAAATGGACGGAATGCGTCGCTATTTCTAAGAAAGAGAGAGAGAGAGAGAGAGAGAGAGAGAGAGGGGCTGAGGAACTTGTAGAAAAAGAGAAAGCGATGTTTTCATTTATATAAACAGTATATCAGTATTAACGTGAAAGTTCTTGGATTAATTTATTCAAGATAAAAAGAAATGCAAGTTATAAACCACGAAGGAAATGATGAAGTAAGTCGGGAGAAAAAGTGCGGGCGAATAGCGCACGAGCGATGCTCGTTAGATTACTGACTTAAGCGCCTGAGAGTTTTATTCTCCTTAAATCTAATTCTAATAACTTTATATTCTTCATTGAGGAACGAAATTCTCGAGCGTACGGCCGTTCCTGGTCTTGCGTTCGTCAAGAAGAGTTTCGTTGCCGAAGGTCGGTTTCTCGATGACGCAAGTCTTATCGACAAAGTATACGATGTGTTTTTTCGAAGTAGAGAAGATTATTTATATTTTTTAAAAAAGATACGTCTCTTATATACGTATGTACGTACATAAAATGCAGGGTTTAAAGTCCATTGTATATATAAACACGTCTCGATGATGAAATTACAAAAATTTTATCAAATACTACGATGAATTTCTATTGATAATATTCAATTCTTTATTGCGACGCATTTCATTTGAACGTGTTGACCGAAAACGGTCTCGTCTCTCTCCACCGTGCGAAATTACAGTTACGTGTGTAACAGATTTTACATTGCCGATTATTATGACTAGTATTTCATTACCGATAAGTTTTTAGTCCACAGACCCATTAACGTAAATAATGTAACGAAATATTGCCCCTCATCTAATTCATCTTTTCCTAAAAGTAGGAATCCTCGATCCTTCCGTATCTCGTTGAAAATTAGGGAATCAACAGGGAGCGTCCTCTGAGTTATGAATCGCCCGCCTCCGGCGGCAAAAACCGGAGACAGTAATTATTTATACTTCGAACGGGCCCCGAGATTCAGAGGGGTCTCAGGACGACGTATACACGGCATTACGCGGTATAAATATAAATTATATTTCACCTGACGCGCGTGGGCCCGACGATGCGTCTTCTACGATCGCTTAATCGTGCCCTAATCGCATCGATTAATCGTGCATGTAATCGTTCACATACCAAAGAACAGGTTTTCGCGATTATACACCATAAAAAAGTATTTATTAAGTAGCGCGCGCGCGCAATTTAATATTTTTACCTGATGGTGATATATGCTGTTTTTATAATGAATATAGCGTTTAATAATTTGACACACTTGGTAAATAAGATTGAATCCTAATAAATTAATTCCGTCGGGCATATTTAAATAAATTTTTTTTTTTGTGATACGAGAGCTTATTAAAAGTTAAAAATAGGTAGACGGTTTAAAGATACAAGTTGGTAGACGGGATACTTTGAGCACTCACGAAAAAATTTTAATTTCAGTAATACTTTTTTATTAGTATATTATGTAAATTTATATCAGTTATATCCTTACGATACGGGATAGAGGAATGTAAAAATGGTGAACTTTAAGGGGATTCTAAAGCCATCTGTATTATCGACTAAATCATATAATTTTTGTATAATAATTACTTTTTTCTTCTTTTACA